CCAGCAACGTTAGATCCGTGACCGATTTCTGTCATTGCGAAACATCCGATAACCCCGTTTAGCGTAACAGCTCCTTTTTGTACCCAGTATGATAATTGCTCAGGGGTAGCTTGTCCTTGAACAGAGCTTAAAAATAGACCTAAATGCACGCCAATTCTAGTCCAGGAAGCAGGGTCAAACAAGGTCAATACGTTCATTCTCTTTTTGAATGCGTATACGCTTTCGGCGGTTAAATAGTAACCCATTTTCGCAATCTAATATTACTGATAAATTACCTTTTCCATGGTTCTTCTGCGGATGGTCGCTAAATCTTGCTCATGAGTGTCAATGGTTTTGAAGGTGGGGTCTCTTTCAAATTCCATCATGATTTTTTCGAGCAACTGCAATTAGAATTAATTACCAAGGTGTTTTGTTCACCACCATCTAAAAAGTATGTCATTTCCCTGATAGGAAAGCCAGGGGTTTTACGTTCTTCGGAGATACTTGCAGTTGGAGTTGGTCTATTTTTAGCGGTAAACTTACGTAGACATTTTCAGCTTTGTTGAAATTTTTAAAATATTTTTATATCCCACTACATGGAGATTCACGTGGGGATTTTCCTTGGTTTTTAAGGCCGCAAGTATCATGTGGTGGAAGTGCCAAAGCGATTTAGAAAGTGTCTCGCAATCATTGACGGATTTTTTATAAAAGCAGGGTCCAGAACTATTTTTATTTTTCCAACTTGTGCGTGCAACTTGGCCCACTAATTTTTTAGAGTGATTTTACTTTCAGGGTATGATTCATGTTTAGCAACATTTTTCAACTTGAGTGATGGTCATGGGTTTGCAAGCGGTACGCCCGAAGCCAGTTTCATCTGAAGATGGAGAGAATCTAATATTTGGCGGACAGCTCGATATTTGGCGAACAACAATTCGAATATTAATTCGCAGTTCAAAAATATCAATTGTCAAAGATGCAAAAACAAAAAAATGAGCGAAGTGGGATTCGAACCCACGCCTCTTACGAGATTCGAACTTGAGTCGAACGCCTTAGACCGCTCGGCCATCCGCCCATAAAGATTCCACTTACAAAGACATTTTTATTAATACCCAATCTTTATAAAATTATCAACAGCCATCAAGAATTCTCACCGCTATTCAATCCAATTTGCAAAGACAATCAATTAGCTTTATTGATAAACGCAAGCCTTTCGTTTGCTAGAATAAGCTGTTTGTACAGTATATTGTGCCCCATTAACACTGACTACACCATTTTGGCCCTGGCACGGATCTGCAATTTCTCCATTTACATTATCGTACCAACTCTGCGACGGAATTGGATCGACAATAGCTTCCACTAATTCATGCGAAGCGAAAATACAAATGTTGTTGAATAGTGTATCTGCTGCACAAAAAGCGCTGCAATCGTTCGCTCCGTCATTAGGTTGCTGGTCTGGTATAATTGAGTAATAGATATTGCCGCCATTGTAAGGTACTGAATTATGATACGAACAAATGTCATAGCATGTCTGGTGTTTGTCATAGTTTACAATTACATTTGGTGCGAGATGTATTGGGTAAAATGTGTTTGAATTGGGGCTAATAGTGCCATTCGCAGCTAATTGGAGTAGTAATGGTTTAATGTCTGCTTCGTCATCGACAGTTAACTTTGGCAACAAGTTCAAGTCCGTAGCCTTTGAAGACGATCCTGTAACTGGATTTTGGGTGTATTCATTCAACCATTGAACATATGATGACCGTACTATATCCCCGTAGAATGATATCAA